TGTCGGGCTGGTACAAGCTTTGTAGCGACCACAGGAGTAGCAAAAAAAGCACGGCTCAAGGGAGTACGCCACCGTTGCAAACCCTACTGTACCAGCAGATGCGAGAGCCTCCCTCGAGCTTGACGGGGATCGGTTTCGGCAATGCCGACCAGGAGTCATGGGCCGGGCCTTAAGATCAAAGGATGCCACGCCCCGATGCTGGGCAAATCTCACCTGCAACGTCTGCCTGGTTCCGTTCTGTAGAGGAGCATATGGTCATGTTTAGACCCTGGTCAGCGGCTCAGCGATGCCTCGGTTGCTTTGACCGAAGCTGGCACAAGGGGGCGAAGGAAGCGATCCAGGATGATCCCTCTCACTCCCTGGCGGGCGCTTGAAAGTACGTGGGGCAAGGGCTGGGCAAGAGAAGAGATCATGGGCTGGGAGGTCTGCTGAATCTGTCTATCTGCCCAACCATGCTCGAAAAGCGTCGGCTCTGAATGTGACCTCCCCAAGCTGTCTGCTTCAAATGTTATTACTTCGGGTTCAGTTGCGCCCAGATGTGCCTCCCGATCCTGGACCCTGAGAACCCCACCGAGATGCAGCGACATCGAAGGCCCACTTCCCCGGATCCCCCGCTCGGCCCAAGGTCAACATCAAAACGCGGCGGCAGCGCCCTTGGCCAGCGTCCTCAATCGTCAGCTCCGGGATGTGCTGAAGCTGGCGCCGCAGCTCCTGCACAAAAGCTCTGCTGCGAAGCTGGACGGCCTGAGCCTCAAAAAACGATTCGAACAACTCTTGCCGGTCCCAAGTCCTCTAAGGCCTCCGGCGGGATGCGGTTGCCGTTTACGTTCAGCCTGAGCTCCTGGAAACGATGTTTCGGGAGGTCTCGGGAATGCAATAAACCAAAAAAGTTTAAGCCTATACGTGCCGCCACCCCTACCGCCACCTGTCCTGGAGCCGCAGCTCTCGGAGCGCCGCCGCCAGGGCAGCGAAGCCCTCGGCCCCGAGGCCGGTGCTCAGCAAAAACAGCACGAGGCTCCGGAGCTCCGGCATCCCACGGAGGCTTCGGCAGAGCGCCCGGCAGCCGGCGTCGCCCAGCTCGCGGTTGTACACCAGATTCAGCGTCAGCTTCGTCATAACCTTCATCTTTTCGAGGCCCTCCGCCAGGAGCTCCGCGCCCTCCGAGGTGATCGCGTTGCCATACACTCAGAACCGGAGCTCCTCGCAGCCTCCTCCGATCTGCTGCAGGGACTCGCCGAGGATTCGATAACCTTCGTCTCCCAGGTCGCTGCGCCCCAAAAAGAGGTCGACTCTGCAGGGCAGGCGCCCCGGCGGCGCAGTGAGAGCCAAGAGCCGAGCCTCCGGGAACTCCTCCGTGAACTTCCACAGCTCGGAGTCGGGGAGAAGGTTCAGCCGAAGCTCTTCGCAGGGCCCGGGAGGGCCGTGTTGGAGCCAGGTGCTATCCGCCGACCTGGTGCAAGTCAACGGAAGCGCTTCTAAAACCCTTGTTCTCTCCCATTACCACATATGGACAGTTTTTACATCTCCTAACTTCTGGCTCTCACTCCCCGCCCTCACCCCCTCGTTCCCTGCAGACCTCGCCGCCATCATGGCGCGAAGCACCTCCCGATCATCGAGGGTTTCACGGAGCATGCCTGCCCCGCCCCTTTTCTGGGCGACATTTTTCAGCCCGCGCAGCGCAGACATGTAGTCATCACATAAGGTCAGGCGCCCAGCATAGTACGCGTCCAGCGCCTCGTTCTTCAGCCATGCCCGTACCTCCCAGGCAATGTGATCGTGGTACATCCACGCCAGCAAGAGCCGGGCGAAGGGGAGCACCAGGTTCACTGCCAGTGTAAAAGGCTTAAGACCATCGGTCACAGAGATGACGGAGGCGATGACGCCTTGCGGAGCGTCTTCCAGCACCATTGCCCACCGCCTGGTGGGTGTGCTTTGTTTGTAGAATAGCTGCAAGAGCTTCTTCCAAAGACTGTAGCCAGAGCCCGCTGCTTTCCTCTTCACAAATAACAGGGCCAGATAGCCGCGGCACAGCTCCAGGCGCGTCGACTTGTTCGGCAGCAGGACGGCCAGGTGTAGCAGCCAGAGGTAGCCCAGCGCACCGCAGCCTCCGGAGCATGTGCTGCTTGCGAGGAAGTGGGGGCAACGGAAGACTCACCTCAACATGCTGAAAGCTCCTCCTGCATGTTACATGCCTTACTGCTTCATACATCTTAAGGCTTCCGGCCTATTGCCCGCACCCAGCCGGTGTCTGAGGCGATTGCTTGTGCCGCCAGCACGGAGTCTTTCAGAGAGTCGCAGGCCTCGCCTAAGAACGGCACCAGACTGAGGCCGGCCACCGCCACGTCCGCTGCACCGTAGCTCGAGCAGCCCAGCGCCCGCAAGGCAAGGGCCTGCACTGCAGGCTACGCGATCGCACTGTCTAACAAATCGTTTGGTGTTAGGCCGCGCGCCAAGTACGAGCAATGCACTCCGAGCATCC